GATCCCTTAACCCTAAACCCTAATTCCCAGGAGCTTCTTTGGATCGGCAATCCATGCCACGCGCAGCGGCGCTGTCGCTGAGCTGTCAGTGACCCGTGCTGGGCCCGGGCCCGGGTCCCGCGACGCCATGGCGACGTGTCATGGAAATTGGGGGTTTAGGGTTCAGGGTTTAGGGGTCTATAGGGTTTAGGGGTTTAGGGCTCCTATAAGGGTTCCTTTATAAGGGTTCCTTTAAGGGTGTGTCATGAAAATTGGGTTTTGGGGCGCCTTTAATGGTTCCTTTATGAGGGTTCCTTTATTATAAGGGTGTGTCATTAAAATTGGGGTTTTGGGGCGCCTTCAAGGGTTCCTTGGAGGGTTCCTTTAAGGGTGTGTCATCAAAATTGGGGTTTTGGGCTCCTTTAAGGCTTTAAGAGTTCCTCGGAGGGTTCCTTTATAAGGGTTCTATAAGTGTCTGTAGAGGTTTACCACACATTTGATTGGACAGGTTTTTGGGTTCGTTTGGGTTGGTTTGGGTGCAGGGTTCGGTTAGGGTCTGTCACTGTGTAGCGCATAGGAGGCTTAGATTCAGTTTGCCTGCAGATAGTCACTACGACGCCATGACTGGGCTCATCTGGCAAAGTCACCGGATGCGAAAAACCAAGCAGCGCGGCCGGAAAAGCACGAAGCAACAGTTTCCATACAGTACATTCCACAGTGACCTGCGCCCAGAGCAGGAAGTCCCGAAAACCACTCGTTCGGGAGATTGCAATTCTCCCACTAGCAAGGTGCAGAGCTGGGGCCGCAGCTCTGTGTCGAAGGTGGCGAAAATTGTTTGCTGGCGCTTCTTCCCTGAGTCGTCGGAGCTGAGGCTTCTTGTCCATGCTCCCAGCAAGTTCAGCTCTATCAATCGTAACAATCAACATGACTCCATTAGGCTCGAAATGCCGTGCTTCGTAGACAGGACACTGAGAACGTGCAGATTCCCAATGCATGCGCCCCATCCCCAAAAGCTTCCAGCCAGCAGGAGCTAGCTGTCGTGCTACTACATTGAACCAACACCCACTCACATGGGTGAAAAGCTGGGACTGAATTTGCGAAGCAGCAGCTGGCTTCTTTCTTCTTTCGCGGAGGATCCACCGGGCTCCACAGAGGCCGCAGCCTTAGCAAAATGAGCATGTGGGAACTAAGATGAACGAAGCAAAACGCCCAACTGTGCAGGGGCCTCCGAAGCTTCACAAGCCAACCAGTTATATGGAGTTTAGGCTATCTCAGGCGTTCCGGAGGTTAAGGGCTTCGATTGCAGCTTCTGGGCTTTCGGGTTCAAGGATAGTTGGGCTAATTACACATCTGGGTAGTTGTCAAAATTATGGTCCCTTTTGGGGTACCCTAAATAATAGGTGCCGTATTATAATAAGGACCCCAAAAGGGACCATAATTTTGACAACCACCCATCTGGAAGTCCTCCGTCTTAGATCCTGAAGTAACCTGTCTTGTCGTCTCTATGCCGCCGAAGAGCTTCAGAGCTTCATACTCTGTGCCCGCAACCAGCATCCGCGTCTGCACCCAACCTTCAAACTCCAGCTTCGGAAGGTGCCACAAAATGCAAATATAATCTGCAGGACTACAACATAGGTTTTTGGGTGTATATTAGTATATTGTCAATATTGTACTAGAACTAATACAAATACAAATATATGATACTTGCACGGACCATGCAGGAAAGGCTATGATTGAGCATTCGCACCCCTGCAGTAGGTTCGGGGTCAACAACTGGTTCTCAAGCTTCTTTGTCGTGACCTAGTAGCTCCTTGCTGCACGGGTTGAAATTAGAGCGAAGCTCAGGAGCTCAGGGCTGCAGCACAACTTGGTGGTCCCCTCAACTGCCGCAGGGCTATCCTCAGGAACCATGGCTTGATGATGCAAAGTAAAGGCAATGCTTAGGGCAAGACGTTATCAATGAGAACAGTAAAAAAAGCATTAATAATACTACTAATACTAATAATATTAACAGCACTAAGAATAGTAGTAGTAAAAATAATGCCAGGTTACCAATAAACATAACAATGATGACTCTTTCACTCTCGAGGCATGAGAGGTATCTCCTCTAGTTCCAACCACAAGGAGCGGCTTACGGCATGCTACTCTTGTGCTGTTATCTTGGCACCGGAGTCGAGGGCACCTCAAGCCCGGCAGGAGATCGGACAGTCCAGCAAAGTCCCGAGTAGTTTCGTCCATGCCACATTCAGACCGCAGCCGCTAAACTGCTTGAAGCCGGGCGCCCTGGGGACCCAAAGCTCCCAAAGTTCAAACCAGAATGCCCAGTAAACTCCCCTTCTTGAAGCTCCAAGTCTGCAAGGGCCTTCCATGATCTGAACCCAGTTGTCTTCTGTGGAATGCAGCTGGTCGACCTCCACCTTGTCCTCACGAGGTCCGCCGCGTGGTCAGGGGATACTCTTCTCTGCGCTGTCCCCGAGCTACTGTAGTATATAAGAAGTGTATCAGTTACGCATAGGTGTAGGCTTCAGGCCCACTGTCATTATCCTTGCCAACATCGTTATCATCATCATCATCATCATCATCATCAGCATCACCATCACCATCATCATCGTCGTCGTCGTCGGTTAGCGATCGCTGCAACCGCCATCACCACGACCGCCGCTGCGAGTGCCACCGCAATGCACATAATCCATCATCCCCATCATCGTCAGAATCACAACGGTTGCTCTTCATCACCCATTGACAGTGGAGGCGTAAGTTTAAGCAACGGATTGCAGCTCCCAGGCTGAGCAAACAAGACTGGCCCAACTTCATGCTTGTGGCTTGGAGCTTAGGTGCTTGGCTGAGGCGGAGGTTCGGAATCTTGTGAGCCAGGCCTTTCAAAAAAGAAAGCTCTCGATAGTCTGTGGCGTTTTTTACTATCGGCCTTGTACAGCATTCTTCAGCTGCAAGCGTCCGGAAACTCGAGCGGGAGTTCAAGGAAGCTTCAGGCAGAAGAGTGCTTTCGCAGCTCTAGGCTTATAAGCTTTGAAACCCCCAAAGTCTGAGCCCTGAACCGCGAGCCGAGACTCTAAGCAAGCCCCACGCACAGAAGGCCCAAACCCCAAGAAGCCTCAAATCCCAAAACCGGCCTCCAGCGGCTTTCGGCCCTTGGAGGTGCGCGAAGGCTCTTCGAAGACTGGCCAGGCCTCTGCATCTGAAAGGTGCTTGACAGGGGGCTCAAACACGCTCGGTGCCTTTTTGGGAATTTGAGGCTATTGTGAGGCTTGCATACGGTTTCACACTGCTTTACACCCCCCGAGCCAGGGCTATGGTTCAGGGTTTACAGGGGCCTAGATGGGCTTCGTGAAACAGTGTTGGGTTTCGAGTTTCGTGAAGCCGGCCTGTTTTTGGCAAGAGCTTTGTCAGCTCTCACCACTACTGCCGCGTATCAGCCATCGAAAACTGTTGTTCAGCTTGGCCATCACAGCTGATTGCTGATATTCTCATTATTGTGTGTTGTTACTGGCACTGTGCCCCTGAACCCTAAACCCCCTGGTTGTATGCACACAGCATTGCTTGACGGTGTTGTTCAATCCCTCCCACGGCCTTGACGCCTTTGGGCAGCTGGACTTTCCAGGCAGGCCGCATGCGCATTGCCTCGCAAGTCTGTCAACCAAGGGCCGTTTGAGGCTGGTGCAGAGGTCTTACGGTTCAAAGGGTTCTGGCACTTCACTACCGCAGTTCAAACTACATCCTGAACCCGCAGACCCCCTAATCCGGTGCAACGCTCATCCCCGAACCTGGACGCTCGGAGGATCGCGCAGCCCTCCCGAATGCGAAACCTACGGAGTCACCTCAGAATGACCGTCCATCCTCATCTTCATCTTCCTCCTCTCTATGCATCAGCATCGTCAGCAAGCCCGACGAATGTTCAGCTCAGCGAAGCTCGTAATTTGATCAGGCATTGCCGACAACCAGTAACTAGTCACTGTAGTCACGCGACATCCTGAAAAAGGAAGGATGATGCTCTGATTTGAATTTAAAACAGTGATGCTCTGATCGCCCGAATCTGGCCCATCTTCCCAGTAGGCCTCGCCAAGACCACGCACAGCTCGAGGCTCCTCCTCCCCCTCCTTGGGCTTGGTCGGACGTGTCCATGGTTTTGCTCTAGAAACTCCGCAGGCCTCTTCTAAATCATCGGAGCAGCCGATCTGGGGTAGTTGGACTCTGATTGTCCCAAATGGGGTCGACGGGAATCTTCAGAACTCATACCGTCAGCTCGCGAGGTACAGTTCTACTGCCAAGCGATGATGGCGACCAATATCGCAACTGCCCTCGATAGTGTCGGCGCTGCGCTGTGATGATGATGATGATGATAATGATGATGATGATGGTGATGATGGTGATGACGATGATGATGATGATGACGATGATGATGACCGTGTCAAACTATGCTTAGGGTGACGAGGGCTACCATGATGCTGGTGGCCTAACTCACGATGAACCAGGAGACCAGAAGACAACGACCATGATCACCCGATGCCAATGATCAGCTGAGCTGGCTGCCTGTAATTATCATGATTGCTGGTCTGAAGCAACAGCATCAGTGCCGGATGGTTTTCAACTGGCCATGTTCTATGACCTCAACCCACGAAGTCGAGCCAAGCCCGAGCAGAAATGTGAACACTCACGCCCTCAACCCCAGAACGGCTGTCGAGCTTCCACCGATGGGCATGTCTGAAAGAGCCGCTGCCCTAAGTTCACGTTGATCTCTCCTGACCGACAATGCACGTGGGGATTGAGTGCATGGGGGCGATTCTGAGGGTTCGTAGCCACAAGGCCCAGGCACATGTTCGACGACTTCCGCTCCGATGCACCATGATTCGATGGGGAAGCAATAAAGAGTGCCGAAACCCTTGCAACACTCTGCTAAGCAAGACCTATCATACGGTATCCATCCCTATCTCATCAGCTGGATTCGGTGAAGGTCCCACGCTTCGGTAAGTCAGCTGCTTACTTCAAGATTGGATCACACTAGTGACAAAGGCTGGCAGAGGTGGATCAAGGCTCATTACAAGGATTGACTTCCAAAGACACCTCACTTCTGGTTGACAGGTTTTGGAGTGTCGTGCCTTCATCGCCTGAAGCCAACACCATGGCCAGCGTCATGTCCTCGTCAAGATTTTCAGAAACCTTCAAGTTCTCTTTGTTGGTCTGGCACTCCGTTCGGCGGCATAGCAGCGCAATTCACGGCATTTCTAAGGACCGACAACTTTGTGATGAGAACAAGGCTGGAGAAGGAAGCAAGCAACAACCAGACCAATGTGTATATGCAACTATAAATAAACAATTGTAAAAATATACATAAATGATGGAAAAACATTATATACATATATACATATAGACACATATAATATGCAGGAGCGTGGAGAGTGTGTGTGTGTATATACACATATACATACACACACACACACACACGCACACACTCTGTCTGCCTGCCTGCCTGCCTATCTGTACTTTGCCAAATACCGCCAGAAAAGAAACACCGCCTCACCGCTGCCATGTCCGCTCTCTCCTCTGCGAGGTCGATGGTAAAAGCCTGGAACGAATGGCCGGGGCCATCAGTCGATCAAACATCGCAGGATCTAAATTAACAAACACATATGTACATAAATATATACATACATATATACGCATGTGTAAGAGTGTGTATATATAAATATAAATATATACCTATATATATATATACATTATATTCTTAAACATAATAAGGAGAACACTACCAATAACAATAACAATGACAGATTCTGAACACGACCTACTAATGAATAAGAAGATCATGAACTGTTAGCAGTCGCGATGATTAAAACAAGAGCTGCAATCATCATCATCACTATAACATTTCATAGCAGCAAGTAGATTACCATTGCTAACCATGATAAAGACCGGTGATGAGTAGCGATGCCAATTAGAATCCCCTACTGAACATCTAACTAGAAGACCAGTAAGAGTAGTGGAAAATGTGCTAAACAACGAATAATAAGAACGTTCATTGTCCACTCACTTTCGTCATTTGTCGCGAAGGCCATTGACCGCAGTATTTGTGCCATGTTCGCTCTTCGAGATTCGAGTGACTGCTCCAATGTCATTGTTGCTTACGACGGCCACATGCTGCCACTGTCAGTCTCATGCAGGGTGACTAGTGTCGCCAAGAATGTCAAGGTCATAGAAGCACTATCGGTATCCATCCATTCGAACTAGACAGGTGTTGCTGAAACCTTCAAAATCCCCCGCAATGGACTGAGAGAGGAAGACGGCCCATCAAACCCGTAAGTGCAGGCGAGCGGTAGTGTGTGATAACGTCTATATGCCAGTCACTCACGAACATGGTACATGGACATTTATAATTGTAGGCTTCTGCACGCCCGCCTATATTGCATGCGATAGTCGTTGATGGAAGCCAAGGTCGTGCGCATGCATGTATTGATTGCGTACATACTGCCGCATTTCAACCCCTCGACCTACCACTCCAACAAAGGCGAAGGCCACACGATCAAAACCGCTTGACGATTCAGGCTAACAAGCACGGAGTCAGTTCCGAAGCCCTCGGTGGGAGATGCACCTTGTACTAAGATGGATCAAGCTCTGTTGGTGTGCCTGCCCCATCGGCGCCGCCAAGGATCCGTTCAGGGAGAAGGAGAGGTTGGCAGTTCCATCCTGTCTTCCGGGGCCAGGGCTTCTGGGCTTCAGGTGTCCACTTGCAGGAGGCTTGGGGAGAGCTTCGCACACACAAGCCCTGAAAGGCATCTTCTCGAGTAGGTCAACTGACATGATGTTGCGTGTGACAGTGTGGGCATCCTCCGAAACAGAATCCCCGATGCTTGAGACAATAACAGGACCCACGCCACTGAAGCCTCAGCAGCTCAACAACAGCATGGCTGTTCTGATCACCACTCATGGGGGCCGAGGCAGCAGAAATCATGGTCAGCCAGCTGAGAGCAACAAGACAAAGAGATCAAAAAAGAGAGTGAGAGAGAGAGAAAGAAAGTTCGTTGTCGTCGTCTGATATCGCTTTCTTCGTCGTTCATTGTCCCGGCTGATCTCGTAGTTATCATTATCATTCCAGTTCTTCATCATCGCTTGGAGTGGTAAACTCGCCTTGGCATCAAAGAGGACGCCGATGACGTCGCCCTCCTTCCAGGCAGCGCCGAAGGACCTCCGCTGTGCTCTGAAGCTGGCTTGGGTCCAGGATGGCTGCCAGTCTTCTGCCCTGGTGCGCTTGGGGCTTCATCACACTGATTGCTATTACACATAGTTTTTTCCTGGGTCCCAGACTCGCCATATTTCCACTGACCCTCCTCACTGAACTCTTCCTCTTCGTCCTTGTCATCCTTGCAGTGCTGCAGCGTTCTGGGCAACTGGCCCTACCAAACCGGCCTCTTCTAGAGTCTATGCAGGCCAAGCGATCAAAACCTGAAACGGTCTGCACAGGAAGGTCCTCCCCGCCGTCTTCGCCTGGCCAGGTGTGCCGAGACTTCCAAGAAGCAGAAAGTGAGCACCCTACACTTTGCAAAGAAGGCTTCGCCTTCGTCCTCCTTCTCACCTTCCTCCTCTCCCTCTTCTCCGTCCGCCTATCGACAGGGGCAGTCTTGTGCAGGAGGATGCTACATGACTACATGTAACACTTTCAGAAAAACTCAGTGTTTCTCCACTCCAAGCTCCAACTCCTCCGGGCCTTCTCTTCGCCGTCTTCCTCGCCTGGCTTCTCTTCCTTTGCCTCTTCTGCTTCTCCTTCGCCCTCCTCGGCATCTCCTTCTCCGTTCTCGTCCTCAAGCAAAGCATGCAATCGTGTGTGCCCTTGAGCCTAAAACACCAAACACTGCCAAAGCGCCTCCTCGCCATCTCCCTCTGCAGCCGCTTCCTCCTCGGCTTTCTCGGCTTCCCCGGCTTCCTCCTCTCCTTCCACCTCCACCTTCTCGGCGTCCTCCTCACCTTCACCCTCTTTGGCCCCATCGCCTTCCTCGCCCTCTTTCTTCTCCTAGCCGGGACTTCGCACAGCACATCGAGTCGTGAGCATGTCTGCCCGTCATGCCTTTCCATAGGTCCGTAACTAGCTTTGCATCACTTTTTGATCCGGATGCGGCCAGTTCTGGTGCATGTTGGCTGTTCAGCGGGGCACGAGGTGTAATCAGTAACTGGAGGATCAAAGCTGCTCGTAGGTGCATACCTGCCGGTGAAGTAAGCACAAGTCCTCAATGTGCCAGCAGATCTGGCACAAATGTCGGGCCCCAGCTGCAACTACCAGGTCGACGTCCTAGACCGAGAAACAGCCGAATAAGGCTGTCTCCATCCCAAGTCAGCCCGAGCCAATGACTTTCTGACTTCCCACAGCCAAGTGCGTTGCACTCCAGCCAAGATCGAAGATGCAGGCCAGCAGGCTTCGAGGACCTTCTAAGTCGAGGTGACCCACTTTGGAGAGCAGTCGATGTCTGAGCTTTTGCTGACCGTCTATGTCGCCCCTGCGGTACATCTCCAGAACACGAGGCGACCGGAGGCAACGTAACCTCCCAGGAGTTCACAATGCGGTGGAACACGGATACAAGCGTGCTGTGAGAATTCTGGTTGTTCTTGGGAAGAGGTTGAGCAGCGTCAGCAACACAGCAAGTATGTGCCAGGTGAATGCAGGTGAGGTGTCAAAAACGAAAAGTTGTATAACCTAATCGACCTACCTTCAAGTCATCTTAATCTGGTTCTGGCGCCGACCAAAAGCAAAACATGCATCCAAGCTGCCTCCGGAGTGTAAGTTGCAAGCCGCCAAAAGCTGAGAGCTGACTGACGGGCTTTCCCGTTCCCTGGCTGGGCGATGGCGATCACTGCCCTCCGAGACCTGCTCCCAAGGCTGTGCAGACTCCAAGAGACGCCGGAAACCGTCCCAGGCTCTCAGGAAATAGCTGCGGGCAGCCGAGAGCCCCAGCCAACTCAACGCTGCTACCCGCGCTGGCCAGCCGTTGCTCCCTCCCAACAGCTTGCCGTAAAGCTTCTGCGAAAGCTCCTGGTCCTGGCGTGTGCCGATGCCGAACTGAAGCAAATACGCTTGGTCGAAAATTGCACGTGCATCGCCCCGCTCTGCGGCCAGTGCCGTCCAGCGAAATGCTTCTGCCTCAAGCTCTGCTACACTAAAGGCCGTGTTTTTGTCCATCCCACGCGCAAGAAGCAGGTCGGCCTGCTTCAGCAGCCGGACGGACAGCTCGGTCATGGACGGCGCGTGTCCTGCGGCTGCGGCACGCCGATAGTAAGTGAGGGCAGAAGGCGCTGAAGCCAGCGACGAGACTTGGCTTTGACTCCATCGTCCCCAAAACGATGCGTGTTTGCGAGATGTCTGATCCCAAAGCCATGCCACGTTCAAATGCGCCATCACAAATCCAGCATCACTGAGGAGGGCAAAACGCAGACGGGCACCGAGGAGGTCTCCAAGAACATAAGCACGACGAGCGTGGGCAAACAGCAAGTGTGCGCTGGGATGAGCGGCATGGATCACCTCGGCCAGCTCGCGATATGCGACTCCACATTGAGTGTTCCTTTCGGGAATGGAAGGATCTGCACCCTGGGCGATCAACAAACCTGCATTGAGCTTGGGCACGAGGCGGCCGTTTGAAGCAGCCAACTTATAGTATACCAGGGCTGCAGCCTTGTCTGGGCCACCTGGAGGGACCACCCCCTCCATGTTTCCGTGGGAGTAGCCCATGTAGCTGTGCGCCAGGATCAGCTGCGCGTTGGAGTTCCCGAAATCTGCGGCTGCCTTGAGAAACTGCCCTGCCTGAAGCGGATCCTTGCTCTGGCCGATGCCCAGTCGGAACTTGAAGTGGAGCGCCATGAAAGCCAAGGGGGCTGCAGAGGAGTTGCCCACCATGTCCAGGAAAGGTGCAGCCATCTCGACCTTGTCATCGCGGAGGTAACTGAGGGCTGCATGCCAGGCTGACCACACATCGCCCTCCTTGGCGGCTCGGGTCCAGTAGCTTTCTGCTGTTGTCTTGTTCCGAACCAACTTCGCTTCCGTGTGGCCTTGGAAGTGTAGGGCTGCCATCTCTCGCATGCTTTGAGGCTGCTGCATCACCTCAGCTCCATGCTTCACCGCGTCAACGTACTCCTTGCTCTGCTGCCAGTCCTCGTCGCTAGGTACACGCCGCTCCCGGTGCCGCCACACCTTCCACGTCAGAGCAGCCTTGTCCAGCAAAGGCTCCTCGTTTGTGGAAGCATCCCTGGCCGGGGTCACCAAAGTGCCGAGCGCGCGGCAAGCGCGCTCCGAGGCCACAGCATCCTTGCCTCCATGGAGGCCGTGGAGGTCCGGGATGCGATGCAGCAGTGACTTGTCGTGCACATCGGCTTGTGACCGTGTCCAGGAGAGAGGGACATCGGTCAGCCCACGGCGAACAAGAGATGCAAACACCACGCTGCCCAGAGGTTCTTTGCGCTCAGCTGCCTCCCAGAAAGCAGCCCCGACGTGATCGAAGACCTGGCAGCGGCTTCAGCAACTGTGTGGCGGAGAATAACTTACAGGACCTCTTCTCAACTCTTTTCCGTCTTTGCTACGGGAACCAGGACGATATCTCAAGCATGGTCGTTTCGACAGAGCGACGCACCTCTTTCTTGATCATCCCTTGCTTTCGGTTCACCACCTCTTTCCTGGGCTCTGAGAGGAGGACTTCCGGGTTCGTCACCACCACCGCAGGCCCCGCCACCACTTGAAGCTCTAGGTCAGCCACCTGGGACTTTCGGCGTGCGAAGCTTCTTCTAGATCGGTTCGAAGTCGCAGAAACAATGCCTCTGTATCCTGCGAGAAATGAGCCCACCAACAAGGAGCTCATCTCCAAGGCTCTACGGAGATCCACGAAACCCACGAACTACCCACGAACTTAACTTCCTCTAAAGTCCGACAGTCGGACACAAAAGGAAGCAGAGACCTGGAGCCGGGTTTGGCGCCCCACCTCCGGGCTGCCTACGGAGAGCAGGAGCCCGAGTAGGGTGAAGGCCCAGGGATCCTCCAGGGCTTCGTCTCAGCCCAAGGAGGATTTTAGCAAAAGTTCCACCTCTGGGGGGGGGGGGGGGGGGGGNNGGGGGGCTCTTCATATAAGGTTTCAATATTATATGTCAAGGGGTCGAGTGCACGAGATTTCTCCATTTCGCTTTCTGGGGTTGTAAAGTGAAGCGCCCTGATTAGGCTGGAGGTGCAGGTTATAATTAGTAGTGATCAGAAACTGGAGCGTTTACAGGATCCAAAGACACTCTGCCCACCAACTCCGTGCAATCTCAGAAAACACTAAGCCCCGAATAGCCGGCCAAACCCCAATGCACCGATTCATGCTTGGCCTGTTGCCGCAAACCCAGGTCCTGATGGCCCCTTCGAGATGACACGGCTTTGGCAAGATGTGTCCGGGCCACCGATGCATCACGCGGCAAGCCTCGAAGCAAGAGTCAAGCTAAACAGTCTGAAGAGTCAAAGTAAGGAAGCTGGTCGAGTCTGGTAGCATACAGTGCAACGACGCTTGTAAAATGCTTCTGTCGTTGAATGCTGGTAGTATCGTTCTGCGGTTCACGCTTTCTACCTTTAAATGGCAACTCCTATCGCTTGATAGCATAGCTAAGAGTACGGCAAACACTTCAAAGCACTGGACAAAGGCGAACGGCATGGCCCTCATCCAAGGCTTCTTCTCTTCCTGCATCCTTCAACCCTAATTACCGAGATAGCAGCTCACAGCTGTCAAGCCTCCTGGCAGCTGCAGCTCCCCCTTCGAATCCGGCACCCCAAAGAAGTTGAGCATGGCCAGGTAGCCGTGGAAGCCGGAAGCCTCCAACTCCTGGGCGAGGAAGTTGAGGAAGGGGTGAAGAGTCAAAGCTACTCTAGTGCAGAAAACAACAACAATACATCTAAAATGTATTTTGATACTACTTACTAGCCGATGAACGCAGATAGCATGAAGTTGGGAAGAGTGACACCAAGAACTGTGGTGCAAGTTTGGAGCCTTCTATAGCTGAAGCTTTCGGGCCTCGGGGGTTGGGCGGACATGTAGGTTCTAGACTCTCCATGGCCACAGCTCCATGCCAACTGTTGTGGATGTATGTTGGTCGGGGGTTGGTCACGAGGCTGCGGGTAGAATGACGACGAAGAGAATCCTGGCGAAGGGCACGACTGCAAAGCTTGGCCCAGAATAACAAAAAGCCAAGTCGCATGCTTCAGGGACACAAAGTCGTGGCCTCGGGTTGGCAAACACTCTCTGCCTGATCGAAGAAACCAGTTGCGGCAATATCGCGATACCGAAAATGCAAATGTTCATCTGAGGTATGCTGCCAATTTCTGAAATGCTTTCTTTTCCAATCACCAGCCGACATTCATGCGAAACAATAGATGTTGTGATGCCCAGTGCCAAAGATTTTACATAATTATCCATTGCTCTCCCTTCGAATTCCACGACGACTACGACCATGACTGCCCCTGCGACTACCGCTGCGACGGCAACGTGAGTGCGACGGCGACGGCGACTGCGACGACTGCAACTGCGACATCTACGACGACGACGGCCGCTGCTACTGCACTGCTGCCTCTCTAGGACAACGACGATGTCGACCACGACCGACAACGACCACAGCAGGCAGGATCCGTCCTGCCCAATGGACGCGGGCCTCCTCTTGCATCACTTGCCCCAGGTCGCACGAGATCCTCGAGTAGCCTCTCAACCTCCGAAGGCTCCGGGGTCAGGGTCCAGCGCTCAGAGTTCGGACCAGGCATTGAATTGATGCGTCAGTCAAGAATGCAATGCCCGGGCGAAAGACATGTATCCAAGTTGTCTCCAGGTGTTCAAAGTTGGGGCGAGCCCTGAATAGCTTCAAACGTGATTTCAGCTCTGCGGCCGGCCTTCTGAATGGCATCCGCGACGGATGCTCGGCAAATCCAACACCCCACCAAGAGAAGCCAGTGCCAACATTTCATCGCACATAGACCAGCTGGTAGCCGACGGCTTGCTTTCGGGTAGGAGTTAACTTTTGAAGCTGTGCTACTAACAGGATGCAACAGATTGTTTCAGGAACGATGACTACAGTTCGGGCTGTAAAGTGCGACGCAAGTATCCGCGGCTTTGAGCCAAACTACAACGCAAAGGTTTGTGGGCATGACGTCAAATTCGGACCATGCTCAGACCTTGAAGCCCACAAGGGGCACATGTCATGTGTGAGTCGTGGGTGCTTAAGTTCACCAAGGCATAAATCCCGAACGCAGCCTCATCCGCCCCATCCTCCTCGTCCTGCGGATGCTGCATCATGGACTCCAGGGCCCTGCTGGGGCTTCTGGGGTCAGGCACAGAAAGCGCTTACTGAGAGAACACAAACCTCTCTAGAAGATCGGTGAGGCCCCGGAAGCAAAGCCCTGTCCGACTTCTTCTTGCTCTTCTTTCTTGGAGGGGCTCCTTCTCCTGCAGGGTGCAGCCCAGACGAAGCAGGTGCCCCGAAAAGCTGGAGAGCCTTCTTCTTAGGCTGCCAATCGCAAATGCCACGCATTGTCAATCTGCCGGCAAGGGGCCCAGGTCCAGCTTCACCTCGACTTGTCTCTGGTTCACTAGGCTTTGTCTTGCTGCGCCCATGAACTAAACGTTTAGAATGACCCAGAACGACAAAGTGTTGCGAACTCTTTCAGTTCCTCTCTGTTGAAAGGCTGGCAGCCAACACTGAATATACAGTAGAAGCAGTCCTGGTGCGTAACACTGTTGAGTCTCTACGGAAGCAAGGTACATATGAAGGTTGCATGCATCTTCGACCATCAGCCCTGGCTAGTGGGAGCTAGACTTGATTTAGATAGGCTAAGCAGTCTGTCAGAAGCTAGAGTGAGTGTCAGGGCCGGCGCTTACGAGAATACCATCCTTTAAAAAACACCACCTCTATCATGTGCAGCGCCATTACGGCCAGCGCCAAGGAATCCATGCTGGTCGTTCTTTCTTCTAAAGTCCTCGATGGTCCTCGTGATCGTCAGACTCTACAATTACAAAGCGGGGTATTAATCGCAAGTGCGATCCAAAGGCAGCACTCTTGCCCCCAATCGCCATCAAGCGCACGATCTTCGGGGAGCCAGTCTTCCTGGGTCAAGATTTACAGTACTTTCGACGGTTCGGGCCGAGCGCCGTTGAGATGGGATCTTGACTGATGTTGGTTTTGGACTTGCGCGGTTTGGGATATGAGCTTTGAGACTGGCCGTGTTGCTTTGGGGCGGATATCGGTGCTTGGGAGGGTCTATCCTGAAGCTGCAGAACTGATACAAGCCCCGGGTTCGTGAACCGTGGCCCTTTGATCCACGAACTGCATCAAAACCCTTGCTTGGCTCAGCCGGCTTGCTGAAGGCCCCATCCAACGCACGGCTGCGACCTGAGACGCGGCAGTGCTGCTCGAGCTTTGGTGCTTTGGCCCTGAAAGCGTCAGGGAAAAAATGTCAACCCATAGGCACTCGGAACTGGTCTTCACGCGGATCATCTTTCTACGAAGGTGCGCAGTTGCCACTAGAGCCAGACACCCTCCGTCTCAGTTCTCGGAAAGTCACCGACTAAACCTGATCCTGTGAGATCCGCTACCAGAATGAAACCAGACTGGACAAAGCTCCGTTCAAACTTCAAATCGAAAGCGGCTCAGCCTGAACTCCCAAAAACCCGACTTCCCAGACTGAGGTTCGGGCTTGCCTAGCTTACTCACCTCCAGCTCAGCATACCAGGTGCCCTCACCTGACGTACTTGCGGCACCGCATAACACCCCCATAGTAGGCCTGATATAGAACAAGGACCGTAAAGAGGTAATATTACTATTACAACTACCAATTCCGAGCCCTATACCATGCTTTACGCAGTCTGGAACTTTCTGGACACGTTACATGTTACGGACTTGACGGCCTGTCGGGATTGCATACCAACGATAAACGTCACAACAATGCTACTACTAACTATAAGAAGGTTACTACCATAAGGGTTATATCATCCCACCATCTATAAGGTTACTGCCAGGGTACTCTATAAGGTTACGGCAGCGGCTGCTATCAAACTCTGTGTCTGCCCTTCAGCTCGGCCGGGCCCCTGGCGCACCGGGAAGCGCAACATGGCGACCCCCTCGAACCTCGGAGGATGTTTGGCTTTAGGGAGGTCTGCTTTTTGAGGTGCTTCGGTGTCTTTGCATCAGAACTGAAGGCAGCTAGAGTGGAAGATCTTGTGCTGGGTTTAGACCCGTGGGTTTAAAAGACCGAGGTTAACGGACTTTGTTTCACCTCAGCAGGAGGAGTCTGGGGCGCACCGAGGCTTGCACATGTCGCCAAGCGGGGTGAGGAGCTCCTTGTCGTCTTTGTTCACAACCTTCCGTCAGGCTGCGCCGAGAATTCTGTCCGCCGGGCGCTTGTGAGATCTGCCGAGTCCAAGCTACTGCAACTCTGCAGTTCTCCATGAATCTACACCACATCCAAAAGCTATCCTGCAAGCAAGGGGCCATGATTGCACCGTCGTTGTACCAGTGTGTGCAGCCGTTGGGGCCCTCCACCAGGAATGGGCAACTGGTGCCTTGGCGAATTCGTGTTTCTGGCTGACTTCCAGGGGTTGGTGGCCAGCCCGGGATGCATCACAAGCCTCCAGGTACACCTAGCAACACAGGCCTGAGCCTCTGAGCACTACGTTTTGGACTTTGCAGGAAATTTCCGCCAGGAACAAGCCTGTTGTCCTCGGAATGGTATTCACATCTCAGATGCCCAAACACCTATCGCCTGCGAGCGACAAAAACCTCGGAACTCAAAATCCGGACAGCAATGTGGCTCGTGGCTGCGATGACGACCTCATGACACAGTGCCAAGAAC